ATATGAATATTTCGCAATAATCTTCCTAAACCTTATGGTCACCCTGTCGCCACAAACCGGTTTAATCTCTTCTATTTTGTGAGCGAACCGTATTCCAAACTGCCGCGTCCAAATAATAAATCGTTTTTACACTTTTCCTTTCTCCAAAAATAAACTGCTTGGAGCCTCTGTGATAGTGGCTGACATTGAAAGATTGACTCTAACCAATTACTATTAAATGATACAACTATAAACGGTTTCTGGGTATATCATACTCAGAAACTTTAATGACTTAAAATAGTTAAATTTAGTAATTAAAAGGTACGCATATCATATTCTCCGTGTGGTCATGAATTAAGAATACGGAATGTCACCACCTCCAACTATCCCATAGGTGTCGTAAGAGCCGACTAAGCCAGGAGGTCCAAACTACGGGGGACAACAGTACTGCAAGGAGAACGAACACTTGAAAGCTACATTTATTTTTTCTTATGGAAGAGGGGGCAGACGAGCAGACAGGTCACCTACTGGAAAGAGACTACCGGCGCCCATGAACGCCCTCAAGAGTCAAAAAAGAGTTTTTGGCTTTTTAGGAATAAGTACGCTCTTTTCTTAAAGATTTGAAGCTCGTATCGGTACAGAAATACCGCAGTTGATAACGTGTTCTATAAATTAGTGCGAGGCAAAAAGTGTCTTGAAAAGTGCATAGTGGTAGAGCGCCAATTATCCAGGTGATGGAGATGAACATTTTGCCGTGGGGAAAAATGGCCGAAAGTTGTAGCCGGTACTAGTCCGAACAATTCGTTGGAGCATTCTCCCTGATATATTCGTATATTAAACTTGAAACAAACCCTGTACCAATCCATCTGGCCAGCGTGGTATAGTAGGCCAAAACCTCCTTTCTAAGGAGAGGTCTATGTCCAGCAGTGGACTATTAAAGGCTATTGATGGTGATGATATCGTATATTGTGCGATAGAGAATGCCGAGTGAAGCTATATCTCTATGTAACTGCAAGGGATCTTTGGCGGGCGGTTTTATTTTTTCAGTTCGGAATTTCTAATTGAAAACAGAGTGATTTGACACTACATTTTACAGATAAATAGTCATTGAGTGGTTTACGATTTAATCCATTATTTGTAGTAACGTAACGTAACGTAACGCACAATGTAAAATCTCGTGCATCGCATCCTGGTCTAATTTATATTATTAACTCCATCTCGTATACTATTATGATAATAACTAAATTAAACTAAACGAATTAATTAAATTAAATGCATATTTCATGGCTAGCACATTTTGCTGTGAAGCAGCCATCAAAGGCCCACCACTTCTTTCTTTACCTCACAACGTGAGTGGCAACGCAGCATAATAGACATAGAAACTTCTTTGTTCAGAAATGCCGTTTGACCTCTGTCAAAGATAATGCAGTTTACTATCATTTTTCATCTTATTCATATTTATAGTTGGTTTTATTGTTTTAAAATAAATATCTTGATCATCGACAGCCTTTAATAGACTGCTCCTGGGCATAGGCCTCTCCTTTGAATGGAGGTTTGGCATACTATGCCACGCTGGCCAGACGGATTGGTATTAAGTTTGTTTCAAGTTTTTCTTCTCCTTGCAGTATTGTTGTCATGCGTAGTTTATGCCCTTACCCGGCTCTTACGTCACCCACCCAAGGATAGTTGCCAACAATTGTGTTTTTTTTTTAAAGACAACTCCCGCATTAGAAATGTGTCCTGTGTCACGGTGGACTTTAGAAACATACATGAAACGGACAGAAAGAACACCTCAGACTCAGAATAATAATTAGAGCGTAGTAGGAAGCGGCGTGGCGACCGCTTAAACCACTACGCCATCCGTGCAGTCAAAATATACGTCACTAGTCATAATACACAATGGTATATATTTATATATATTTACATTTCTGAGTTTAATGACATTCAGCTTCACAGGGGTTGTACACACAATTATACAAAGTGAAATTATTCTAGACCGTCATGTGAGGTAACTAACCTTACTGAATTAGAATGAAAGACAGAGACAACGCGATTCAATTAGAGCTAACGAAAAAGAAAACTTGTGTTTTCTCGCTTTCACTTTTGAACTAGACGTAGTTGGTATGCTAAACTGAAATTATGGTTAGACTGAGTATGGTAGCCATGCGTTTATATTGAGAATTTTGATTCAGTGCCTAGTTAGCAACAGGTTATAAAAAAAAACACGGTTCTTTTATTTTTAAATTGCAAAAAAAGCTGTGTTAATTTTTTACACGCTTTTAAATACTTTGTTTACTTTCTAACTAAAACTTTTTTTAAACTTTGTGTGCACTTGTAGATAGATCAATAATACTTTATTGGTACACTAGAGTTTTTACAAGAATTATAAAGCAAAAATAATGAACAAAGAGTAACCTTATCGCTTAGGGCAATGTCTTTCCTCAACCTTATGTAGCTTGGATAGCAATACTATATTTCGTCATATTGGAATATGATTTATAAAATGTGAATTGGACGGCCTGTTGGTCTAGTGGTTAGTGGCCCTGACTGCTATGTCGTAGGTTCGATTCCCAACCAGGGCAAATATTGTGTGATGAGCATGATCATTTGTTCTGTGTCTGGGTGTAAATTATCTATAATATGTATGTATTTAAAAATATATATGTATGTTTGTCAGCAGTCTGGTTACCATAGTACAGGCTCTACCTAGTTTAGGATCAGAGGGCTGTGTGTGAGATGTGTGAGGTATATTATTATCATTATATTATGAAAAGTGATTACTAGTAAACCCCTCCAGTTTAGGCGTATATGATTCGTTGATTCGTTTGGATTGGATTTAATAACAATAATATGCTGACTAAGGTGGAAACAATATTTGAAACGTTTTTTTTTGTACTTTATATTTTATTATCCTGTCAAAGCGTGTTCTGTTCTAAACTACATAATCTTAGTTATTCTCAAAAATAAAAACCTTCAAATTAAACGACCGATTTTGGGTAACTCCCAAAAAACTCTCAAGCTCTTCATACATGGGTATTAAAGAGTCTATTGTGTATTGAGATTCACACGTTATTAGGCAAGAAATAATTAAATTTAAGGGTATTTTGTATACTGTCTTTTTGTTAAAAATAGTATACCCCGATATTTAAATGATAATTAGGATTTATAGCTATTTTTATTAGGTTTATTTATTTTCGAAAATCAAACGTAAAATAATCATTCTTATTTAATTTAACTATCACAAACTTATTTGATCATCTTATATATAAAATTCTCGTGTCACAATGTTCGTTCCCGTACTCCTCCGAAACGGCTTGACCGATTCTCATGAAATTTTGTGTGCCCATCGGGTAGGTCTGAGAATCGGTCAACATCTATTTTTCATACCCCTAAATGGTAAGGGTGACCCATCCCTATTTATTTTTTGTTTTGCAATACAACGTTTGCCGGATCAGCTAGTATTTATATACGTAGAAGAACATTATCCTATATCGGTCTGAAATCATTGTAACCCTACCTAAGGTTATTGCACACATTGTGAAATGATGAAACGTTTGCCACTTTTATGGTAATTGAAACAGTATGCATGTGCACCTTGTAAACTTACCTTAAAACGTTTTACATATTACAACAGCTTAAGGTGTAAAATACATTTTAATTACAAGCTAAATAGGAGTACATTTTCGTTGCATTAAATAAATGAATAAGAAATTTCACATCAAATAGTAATTAATATATTGTATTTACAAGTCCTTACGAATGGGAGATGTGGTTCGGTCCCGGAATATGTATACTGCCGAGATCGGCAGTATACATAAACCACGCTAGAGTGGTGAAGAGATTTCTCTCCTTCTGCTCTATTGGGGAGGGGTATAAAATCAACTTGTAACACAAGAATTTAGTTCATCATCATCATCAACAGCCTATACTAGTCCACTGCTGGACATAGGCCTCTTCTTAGTATTTAGTTACAGTTTGTAAATGGAATACTAGTAATATGCAATCCAGGTCGATTACATGGTTTGGTTCCGTACCTCATAAGGAAAAAACTGAACCTTTATGAGATCACTTTGCTGTCCGTCTGTCAAAATACTTTTTTTTTTAAGACAACTCGGCACTCAACACTCGGCGTAGTAGTAAGCGGCGTGGCGACCGCTTAAACCACTACGCCAACCGTGCAGCAATATTGCACATTTCAGGAACGCGTGTAGGGTATCGAGTTAAAATGAAATAATAAAACTTGTAAGTTAACGTAAACAAAGACATACGGCCGTTTATGCCGCAAATAACGCATATTTCGACACTTTCCATGGAACCAAAGAGGTATAGGGTACTTCCCGTTGACCTAGAACTCTGAAATTTGGTAAGCAACATCGTCTTATACGTCAAGTACAGGTAAAATCTGAAAACTATATATTTGTAATTAAATCTTAAAATATTTTTACTTATAGTACGCAATCAATCATCGACATACAATTTCACTTACACACATACAGTTTTGGAAACTGAATTTCGAGAAAAGCTGCGAGAATCGATTTCTGTACCGTTTATAATATACATATGTACGGTTGCGGTCATAAGTCCAGGAGCACTTTTACAAAGTTATAGCATAATAACTATTTACTAGTAACGCATATCATACAGAAATATACCCGCAACATGCGTATGATTATAATAATTGATCTCAGCGCAATCAATAACTGTTCGTCTGGCGCTGCTATGGGCGGTCTAATGCGAATGCCGCCGTTTCAAAGCTCATGCAACCTTACAGTAACTTTTGAGAATTCATGGAATGTAGTTTTGAGTGCAGTATTGTAACGAATGTCAAAGAAATAAATCTTTGATTCAATATTTTAAACTAGTCACTAAAAGTTGGGGGTAGATTTGTAACAAACTATTTTATTGTTTCAAAAACACCCTCAAGTTTTGACCCCGGTTAGTGAACTTTGTTACGAGAATTTGTGTTATTTATTGCTACTGATATTTATATTGAATATCTGTATTCTAAATGCAAGCAAATATTAGTACTCCTCCAAGTCCCTGATCCCGTCCACAAATGCCTGCACCGTATTCGACTCTGCGATTCTCGCGTAGGCCGAAAGATACGCTTTCCGTACGATCTTCTCAATTTCCAACGTCCATTGCTGTAGTCCTTCTCTCAGGCGTTGAACTCTATCACGCAGCTGGGCGCGGAATACTTGTTCCAGATAACGTTCCCCATATTTTGATTTGAGTGCTTCCAACAATTGTTTATATCCGTTTCCGGAACTAGGCAGTGCCTCTAAGACTGTCTACACCTGCCCTCTGAGGGCGACAGTAAGGGGACAGGTCGTCCGTCACCCGTTCATAGCAGCGATAGTCTGGAACTGCTGACGGTACGCGGTCCATGAAGTACTGCCGTCATAGGAAGGTACTTTCAAGCTGGGTGCATGTACTGTGCTAACTACACCCGAACCAGCTGCTACTACATTCGATGTTTCAAGGCGCGCTACCCTCTTCTGCAATTCCGTGAAGGCAGTCTTTAGGCTGTCCATATCAGTACCTAGACAGGTGACCCGTTTCTCAAATACGTCTAGATCTTTACATAGTTTATCTACAGCTTCACTCACTTCGCTGACGGCGGATAAACTTACCTATTTTGTACAGCTCCTTGTAAAGCCACAAACTTGTTGTCTAACTGCTCCTTAATAACTACCATCATCTTCAAAAGATCTGCTAAGTCTAATGCTCGTGAGCTGCCACACCCGACGCTCCTACAGCACGGCGAGCCCTGGTCTTCACTCCCTCGCTTTTACCTTCGTCTCTCGGAGTCAGTGGTATTTCCAATTTTCAATTCTGACACCAGTTGTTACGTGATAGAGTTCGTTGATTTGGTATAATAAGCCTTCTGACGACTAAAGAGACTTTATTATCACTACACTTGGAAACGTTCACACAATACCCAAGAATAGTCCGGAATGATCGCCGATGTCGCTTGGTCACACTTTTATTCACTTCAATCGCTTCGATGTTTATCACACTGCTGCGCAGCTTGAACTGAACTAACTCCAAAGAAGACGTGTCCGTATTTATAATACTTGTAAAAGATCATTCTAGCAAATTCCAATCAATACGAGAACCTTGTGAGAGAGAATATTGTGTCCACAATAATGAATTCCTTCGAGGGCATAATTTAAACAACCCACAAAAATGCAATGTTAAAGCTTAGCTTTGCTCGCTTCGCTCGCTCTGGCACATTTAAGTTGCCATTGATGAGAAATGAGGAATTTTAAAGCGGTTTGTATATCGTGTCATAATTTGAATTCAATCAGTGCAGAATTTTTTGAGTTTTTGAAGCGTACACAAACCAACATTACATTTATAAATAAATGTAAATGTGTAAACATAGTTTACAATCAAAAAAAAATATAGTAGTTTATTTTTGAACTGTATTTATTAATTATATATTTTTGGATGGTGCTTTTCATATGTCTAACTGCGTTTATTCCGTAAGTTTCGATACTTTATTATACTGCTGATCGGTTATTAAAAATAAACCGTGCAATTTACGAAAAGTTGTTTCGTCAAGAAATATTATATGTACAACTTAACAATGGCCGCGTTGAACTGTGTCCAATATAATTTGAGTTCCCTTTATTGAACATATTGTTGGCAATAATTTACGATGTGCTTTTATAAAATTGTATATATTGCTTGATAACTTTAAAAGTTCTTAGCTGTTGAAAGGTATCATGTTGAGAGAAATTAATTTTTATATTAATCACACAGAAAACCGGTGTTAAGCAATTCTTTCGTTGCCTTTCACTGAGTGAGTGAGGTTACCGGAGCCCAAATCCCCCCTTCCTGAACCGAGCGGGAGGGACTCCAACGGCAGCAACGCACTTGTGGCTTTTGAGGTGCAGGTGTCCATGGGCGGCAGTAGTTGCTTACCATACGGTGACCCGTGTGCTCGTTTACCCCCTTACACCATAAAAAAAACATAATACATTATCTATTATTATTTTGGACAAGAATTCTAGTGAAATCTATCAATAAATTTGTAAATATTTATAAAAACTGTCAACACTTAAACAAATTAAATGTTATATGTCTCAAGCCACTTATGTAGCATATGTTGCTGATTATGATTTTAGTCCCACGTATAAGTGGGACTAAAATAATTATATTCAGCGAAATATGGGCGACTAATACGCCTCTGTCTAGCTCTCGTGGATAAAAGATGTCAGTGTATGTATGTATGTATGTAATAGAACTATTTTCAATAGAATAGTGTTTACATAAAGAAATATAAATATCAGAGGTGAAACATCTGATTACATCATCTGAAAAAAAAAATAAAGCCCTAAAACGTTCTTCTTTTTACAAATACCTTGTCGTTCATCAAAAAATCTCAAGAAACATAATTACTTATTAGAAAGAAATAATGAGTGTCAAAATATATTGGTGTTTATACTTTATAAAGCAGAAAACCATAGGGTGACCACAAATTTTTAACTTACTCTATGATTGCTTAATTATTCATTCAAAGCTACAGCATTTCGAAAAGGTGTTTAAGTAAAGTATTTGAAAAAAATAATTAAATAAGCCTGACAAGCCTAGTTTTTATAAAACGAGTTTTAGTTACTCTGGAATATACAGCATCTCTTTGGCGAGTAGATGCTGTATGTCTCAGAGTAACTAAAACTCGCCACAGCTTCTTGTTCTAACACGCATTTAATAAAGAGAGTCGAATTCAATTGCCAGAATATTAAAGAAAATTCATACAGAAAATACTTAATTCAGTAGATCTATTTAATTAATCCTAAAATAATACAAATGAAGTAAAGATTATGACTAATTTATTTTTTAGAAAATTATATTTTTTTACGTGTTGGAAACACCAATCAGAAAATGTGTCGTAATCGTACAGTTATTGTAGCTTAATAACCAATCAGCTCTCTTGCTTATCTCGTCCTTCGTTAAAGCGAAAAGAATAAGTTTGAATTTGTGACAAACTATTCAAGTTCTTTCTTCATTACGTTCTTCTGAATAAGATAATGTTAATATTTACGCTTAGAATAAATTATTACATAAAATATAAAGGAGTCTGCCGAACGATGAAGTTATACGTAGTCACGTGCGTTTTTGTAGCCTATATTTTTTTATGTTATAAGGGGGAAAACGAGCAAACGGGTCACCTCATGGTAAGCAACTACCGCCGCCCATGGACACCTGCAACTCAAAAGTCACAAGTGCGTTGCTGCCCTTGGAGTCCCCCCCGCTCGAGTCAGCGATTTGGGCTTCGGTAACCTGACTCACTAGGTGAAAGGCAACGAAAGAATTGCTTAACACCTGTTTTCTGTGAGGCCGTGGTATCACTCCGGTCGAGCCCATTCGTGCCGAAGCATAGCTCTCCCAGGGTAAAGTAATATACTTTTATTTGATTTAAGGTTGAAATAATGAATTAAATATTACTTAATTACATAAACACATGAAGCGTTTAAAATCATTTTTTAAAGTGGACCACTCCCGAATTGTTCAGATTTATGCGTATGACAACTTTATATTAAATATGACAGACATTATATAATTGCTACATCACTAACACTATAGTTTTTATGAACATCACATCAACAGCCTTTAATAGTCCACTGTTGGACATAGGCCTCTCCTTAGTAAGGAGGTTTTGGCCTACTATACCACGCTGGCCAGACGGGTTGGTATATATAGTTTTTATGAACGAATTAATCAATTTTTTTTGGACAACTGTCAAAAAAAAATACTGTCCAATAAAATAAAAAATCATTTGTCCACTAGTCCAAGTAAATCACCATTAAGAAACAGACTTAATTCTCCGAGCTATTAGCACCGCATTATAGCTCTTTATTTAACAAAATATTTTGCATGTCATCGCTCTGGGGTGTAATTCACCCCCTATCATCAGCGAGGGGGGAGGTTCAAAAGTAATTAGGAGACAATTATTTTCAATTTTCGTTAATATGACACCTTAATGCGACGTTCTGAAAGCATTTTGACGCTTTAGAAAACTAATATACTCATACAGAATATTAATGTAAATTAGTGTTTTATTAAACTGAGTTGCCCAGAGAACCAAATTCCGTTACATTGTCTTTAAACTAGAAAATAAAATATTACAAAGCAGGATTTTTGGTCGTTCACTGTCAAGTCAAACAAGTTTTCCACTGAGTCAAACGGTTGGTTAATAAAACTTGATTCAAACTACGAGTATAGCTTATCGCATCACATGGTATTTTTTTTTTAAAGACAACTGCCGCACTAGGAATAGATCCTGTGTCGCGGTGGACTTTACAAACATACATGAAACGGACACAAAGAACACCCAGATTCAGAACAACAATTTGTGAATCACACAAATTGTCGTCCCATGTGGGGATCGCACCCACAACACTCAGCGTAGTAGTGAGCGGCATCGCGACCGCTTAAACCACTACAACAGTCATATATGAGTATTGTTGTTATATCATTTACTTTTATGATATCTCACACCTTTATCTGACCTTTCTCTGGCCTATATCTTCAGTCGTAGTTCAGTAACCTTCAGATTTAATTTTTCTAGACTTTTCTATCATCAACTCAACATCTCGTTTACCCCAAGGGACTCGACTTTTCTATAAGCCCCAAAAAAATTTTGATTTGTCCTGTCTCCTTTGTGAGTTTTAATATGTATTTTGTGTCATCTTAATTGAGAAACAATATGGTACCGTGACTTTGCTTAACATTACTTTAGATTTCAATAACTCTCATTCTTATAGTCTGCGGTATTTCCGGAACGATACAACCATTAAACCTTCAAGAAAAGAGCGTACTACTTCCTGAAAGGAAAAATTCCTGCGTCTCATGTTGTTAAAATTCTTTGCAATGTTACACATTCTGTACACCCCAAAACTTAATGATAATGATAACAGTTGGTTATAGAAGATCTTATTCTGTCTACTCTATTTTTATTTAAATTCTTTAATTTTAATTTTAGTACATAAGCTAATATTTTGAAAGAAATCAAGACACATAAGTAAGCTAATCTAAGATTTTTATTTATGTTAGAGGGGGCAGAGGAGCAGACGGACTCAGGAGTCACAAACGCGTTGCCGGCCTTTTAGGAAGGAGTACGCTCTTTTCTTGAAGGTTTGAAGGACGTATCGGTCCGGAAATACCGCAGACGATAACCCGTTCCACAGATTTTTTATGCGGAGCGTTTGAAATACCAGAACTCCATACTGTAGTGGCTCAGGCAATCTTACGTAATTCTGATTCACTGAAATATATAAATACTAAAGAAAATAAATACTTAAGCTGGTATCTTCTTTATTTTCGTCTAACGGCAAAAGCATCATTAATCATTATTATATTGTCTGTTTGCGGAGACTGAATGCTTTTAAAGCTTTATTTCTTTACAATGGCAATCAATTTGGGTTTTACTTACAATTTTTTGTTAAAGATTAAATTTGTTATTTTTGGTTGTTGAAGTCTTGAGCTTATTAATTTTCTTTGATTTGAGTATTTCAAAAGTTTGTAGGGCTCAGAACATTATTTATGTATTAACAAATTTTAAATTAAAATCCGCTGTTTATTTTTATTTCATGGCGGGAAAACGAGCAGATAGTTCACCAGATGGTAGGTGACTACTGCCACCCATACACAATTCCTCCCCCTCCAGAATCATGAGGAAGGTGTGTTCGGGCT